CAGTATAGTAATAAAGAATCGATTGTAATTTGCAATCAGGACAACATTATGGTCATGTACTCCATTGCTAAGATTATGGGAAGAAAAAATTATCAGAAAGCTACAAATGAGAGGCTTATTAGTATATATCATTTGAGGACATCAGAGTAGCATGTACGGGGTCCATCTTCGTTGTCACAATCACAGATAGCATACCGGGCATTCCAGGGAACTCAATTTACCATGAGAAAATGTTAACATTAACAACACCTGAAGTACTATATAAATTCCTTGCTCCTTCTTGAACTTTTCATCAACATTCAAACACACACATATTAGTACCACTACAAAGGTACGAGTAGCGAAAAATGGCCATGACATTTAATTGGAAGCTTGCTTTTGTAGCTCTTCTACTGTTGGGAATGCAGGCTTCTCAAGCCACATCTCGCGGCTTGTATGAAACATCAATTGTCAAGAAACACGAGCAGTGGATGGCTCGCTTTGGGCGTGTGTACAAAGATGATGTAGAGAAGGCAAAAAGATTCAAAATTTTCAAGGACAACACTGAGTACATTGATTCCGTCAACATGGCTGGAATCAAGCCTTACAAGTTGGACGTCAATGAATTTTCTGATTTGACGAATAAGGAATTTAGAGCCACTCACAATGGATATAGAATGCCTTCTCAAAAGAAATACCCTGAGATCACATCATTCAAATACGAAAACGTCACTGCTCCAGCTACTATGGATTGGAGATTGAAAGGTGCTGTTACTGGAATTAAGAATCAAGGGCAGTGTGGTAAGTTAAACCAATAACTCATCGTTATATAACCACCTTTTAAATATGAATCACTACTAGAAACAAAGGTTTTTCCTATCACGAATCAGTGGGAAATTTGTGATATAGAACATGATTTTCCCAGTCATTTCCCATCGAATTAGGTGGGGAACAGATTTTCACTGAGATAGTGGGAAACTTCCTAATTTTTCCGTATGAAAACATACTATTGTTTCTTCTCTCACGGATTCAATCAAAATATCTGTGGGAATAGTCACTAAACATTTTTCAGTAGGAAATTTCAGTTTGAAAATAGTGATTTTTAGTAGTGAATCTGCAATATAACTAAAAACTAATCGACTGTATTATAATATTGTAGGATGTTGCTGGGCATTTTCTGCTGTTGCTGCTACAGAAGGAATCAACAAGATCAAAACTGGTAAATTGATTTCTTTATCCGAGCAGGAACTCGTGGACTGTGACACGAGTTCCGATATGGGATGTGAAGGAGGTCTCATGGATGATGCATTTAAGTTTATCATCAAGAACCATGGGCTTACTACTGAATCCAATTACCCATACCAGGGAACGGATAGCACTTGCAAAACCGGAAAGGAATCAAGCCATGCTGCAAAGATTACTAGTTACGAAGATGTTCCAGCTAACAGTGAGTCTGCTCTACTAAAAGCTGTAGCTAACCAACCTGTATCTGTCGCGATTGATGCTAGTGGATCAGATTTTCAGTTCTACTCAAGTGGTGTTTTTACCGGAGAATGTGGAACTGAGTTAGATCACGGTGTTACAGCAGTTGGATATGGTGAAGCTAGTGATGGGACGAAGTATTGGCTAGTAAAGAACTCGTGGGGAACGAGTTGGGGCGAGAATGGTTACATTAGAATGCAAAGAAATGTTGATACTGAGGAAGGACTCTGTGGAATTGCTATGGAAGCTTCTTATCCAACTGCTTAAGTATAGAACTCATGAACTGGTGTACATGTTCATAATTTATGTGGTGTGTCCATAACTCTGTGTATGTTATAGGTTTGTTTATACAATTTGAAGTACTAAAACAAAAGCTTGTATGTAAAAACACTGTTAATGTAATGAAATTATACTTTATTACCTTCCAATCTCTTACTTATGAACTGGTGTACTAGCAAGGGAATAATTAAGTCATTTGATCCCTTTAAATTCCATATTTGAAGCCTTTACTATCAAAGTACATGACTAGGGACAAACTCCTAGCTCACGAAGCAAGTCTAAAACTGAAAGGAAATGAAAATAAAGCAACATAAGTGGCATTGCCCGAACATGAGGACTCATCAATCTATCACCGCAGAATCAATCCACTAGTCATGTGCGTGTGAAGGAATGTCGGACCTATATTTTAAAACAATATAGGCACAATATGCATCAGTACTTTGAATGTAGTGAATTTGGGGAACATGCATAAAAACGTAAGCATAAATCATGATAGGTAAGGTTAATGCAAAACTGTAGGGATTGTGTCGTACGTTCAAACCATATTTTATCAGTATGTGGGAGAGACCATTAACCGACACATAACCATGGGAGCTAACCATGGAGTTCAATGTACTACCCCATCGAAGAAGGCCCAATATATCTTGCAAGGACAGAAAGGATCATTCTTTCATAACCTCGAGACTTGGGTACTCGCCACTAGTCCCTCTCAAGACCAAAAACATTCAAGGAGTTTGGTACTCGCCTATATTCCTTAAGTTCATGAGCACTCGCCCTATCCTACGGTGACACGTAGTTTATGAGACACCACTAGTCCGCTCAGTGCTAAGCACAACTCCCCACGGAATTAAGCATTTTTCTTAAGAGTAGCTCTGTAACATATCATGACATCATAACTATAAAGACACTTATCTAAGCATCCAAATCATGATCATATTTCACATTAAGAATATTTCAATCGGAAGCAACCTAGTTCATTAGAAGCATGTTGACACTTCATTTGAAAACATCCTTTAAGCATAATTATATTTGTATATCTGTCATATAATTGTATATGTATAATTTGTATAATTTATTTTTGTATATGTATAAGAGAGGAGAGACACACGTAATTATAGCTAAAAAGAGGTTGCAAGTGGTAATTAATTCAAACTATAGCTATGTTAGCTAATCAACTAGTCTATGTTTGTTTATCCGTGTAATTTTCCCTTACAAAATATAAATAGAAGAGTCGTTGATATGGGGGCCCATTAACGCTATTCATAATAGAGTGTTAATTACAACTGGGCCAAAAAAGTGGGCCGTGTAATAATTTTGACCCACTAAACAACCCATGTAATCCGACTCACTCATACATTATTTCAAGTGTTTCCTTTTATTCCCAGTTTCGGCTGCCTCTTCTTCTGCTTCTCTTTCTCAAGTAAGTTCTTCTTCTTCTTCCTCTTTCGTTTTGGTTCTGTGTTGTCCATTTTAATACTAATTTTGTGCTATCTCTTTTTTGTTTTCCGACTCTTCTTCTACCTTTTGCTTTGTTTTTAATGGATTCCATACGTGGTTTCTCCATTGCTCCTGTTTTGTGTTTCAATTTTGAAAATAAAACTTCCGAATTTGGTGTTCACTAAGCTTGACTGATTTGTTTTCTGTGCGTGTTCCCTATGTTTTGAGATGGATATTGAATGTTAATTTACAGTGGTTGATACCTGAAAAATATTATCCGTTACTGGGTAAAACGAGGGTTAGTCTACTGAAATCCAAATAGTTCCCCTTTATCAAACTCAACAAATTATCCATCAAGGACAAATCAACAAACCACCAAAATATAAAACTAAAAATAAATGGAAAAGCTTAACAATTATGTTGAAAACGATTATAATCTCCACACGATTGGACAGAATCAGGGTCATGCTTAGATTAACAACAACAAACAAGCTAAGAAATAGATTTGAAGTGTGTATAATGGAGGAAAGCTAAACCCTTTTGACAAAGAAACAAAACAAAAAAGAGCACGTAAAGTTTAAATCCTGGCTCCGCCTTAGAAAAGGTAAAAAGAAACTAAATCTCCAATAAGAACCAAAAAGGATGTTAATCAGATGCTAAAGTCACAAACTTTATCAAAATATACATCAATATTTCATCCATATACATGGACATGGTAATATTAAACTGTCAAATAAGGACTATTCTACCTTAAAATCCAAGACAATTTCCAATTTCCCAAATAATTCACCTTTATCAAACTCAACAAACTAAAAATTATGACTTAGTGGTAAGTTGTCTTCAAAGTTTCAATCTGATCGAGGATTTGAGTCATACTAAGAGGTAAATTATGAACCACTGTTTCTGCATAAAGCCCACAACCAAAACAACTGAGAGGTAGAGGTCTTAGTTCTTTTAATCTCTGTAGAATTGAGGGGGAGAGGTAAAAGACTTTGATAAAGTTCGAGTCAATGATTCGAGACTTTATCATAGACCTTAATTATGCTAATGTTATCACCAAAAGACCAGAATGGTGTTGAAATTTGAACTGTTTACAAGGAAATAAATTTCATTTGTAGCAACAGGTTTAGTAGTTTTTCAAATTTGCAAAATGAATAGTAACTCTAGCAAGTAACATCATGTTCCCTTCTTGTTTGGTCAAAATGTGTTCTTGCTCTTCCATACAATTATGGGGAGATCAATCGGGCTGAAATTAATCATTCTAACAAATTTTTTGATTCATCATTGTCCAATGATAAGCTCAGAGAACTCAAATTTTATGAAGTTGACAATGGCCAACCTTTGAACTAAACAACCATATTAGAGTTGTCCACACTTGCTGCTTGTTTTGTTATATTGTATGGTCTTATTTTTACGAATTGAACTATATCTGCTATTCTATCATGGGGACATCCTCAAGCTCTGAAAAATAAATACAGGAGATGGTGCTGTCTAGAGATCACGTAAATAGCTTAATTTATATTTGTCCTCTTATAATAATTTGCTTGAAATTGTTGTAAAATATAATATGGGCTGGATTGCTAGCTACCTTATTTTAAGGTAAGAGTAGTTTACAATTTAAAGAGAATGGTGATGAGCATGTATTCAATATGATTATTAAAATCATAACCTTGTGGTATTCTTATTTAAAATTGTGTCAAGAGGTTTTTTCATGTTACTTTCATGAAGTAATAAATGTGACATTGTTTTGCTCTTTCCCTTATGACTTTATCTTCTGTTGGTAATATTCCCCTAGGATGACATAGTTTGCCTTTTTTGCTCAGGGAATTAAATTCCACAATTAGTTGTTGCTCTGCTAAATCACTGTGAGCATTCAACAGATACATTTGGTCAAAGATTAAAGGAGTTGTAGTAAGCAAACAATAGGCCCAGTTCCAGGCCCAATACAGCCAGTGACCCGTATACAAAATTAGGCCCTTCTTCATCAGTTAGAGTTCTTATTCCTTCCTGAGTTTTCCCTGTGTTTTTACAGCAAAGGCCGCTGCCCTTTGAAGCATGGGGAAGACAACCTCACGGTGAGATCTTAAATACTAAGCTCTCTTTATATTTTATCCTTTGTTTTCTCTCTCTCTCATTGTCTTCAACTCTTTTCGTTTTGTATTTCAGCGGAGATGCTGCCACTCGAGCTGAACGTAAATTCGAAAAGAAGCTGGACTTCTATTCTAGTAAATTTACTTGACCTTATACTTGTATTTTCTCTAAAAGACGTTTTTCTTCTGTGTTATGGCATATCTAATTGTAATTCACTTATTTTGATGCAAAAATATGATTCTCCTCTATATTTATTTGGGGGGGGGGGGGGGGGGGGATGCTGATTTTAGTACTTGTATTACCCTACGGAACGCTGCTTAGTTGGGGATTGGGATTTTCTAGATTCTGGACCATGTTTGAGTGATTTCTGAGAAGGAAAAAGAAAAAGGAGAAGTTTGATGTTTACTTTCTTTCTGTGATATTTGCTTATGCTTTTATTTACGGATAACCATTGCATTCTTCTATGCCTATTTTAAATGGTAAGTTCGCATGGTTCTTTCTGCAGAGGTTAGACAGACAGTTAGTTCGTTAGCTACCAACAAGGCTATTGCTAAGGTTTGTGTTCTTAGCCCTTCTTTTGTTTCAAAATATTTGGTAATTGTTTTAGGGTTATAATCATTGGTGACTTTAATGTCGAGTTTCTAACTTGAGATCTCTGAACAAACTCAATAATAACCTAAGTTGCTCAAACTCTTCACTTTTGGTGCCTCACCCATGTCGACACGACATGGGTGTGGGTGTGGGTGTGGGATCCGTGGCCGATTCGGTCAACAGGTTTTGGGTACTTTGACCAAAAATCGATGGGGAAAATCTGGACAACTTTAATGATTCCTATAATCAATACAAAAGCTAAGGTGAAACTGAAGAAAATGGAATACCTTTTATATAGAAATTTCTATGTCACTCCTTTTCCTTTAATCTCCTTCCAAGATTCTCCTCAAGTTCTCCACATAATATCTCATAATTTAAGTTTTATAACTCTATTTTTAGATATTTTAATTATTTTGAGGCGAATCCCCGCACCCGTATCCGTACATGGATCCATATCCATGAATCTTAAAAATTAGATCATGAAGGATCCGACCTCTAGATCCCCCCGTATCGCGAGTCCGAGCAACTTAGATAATAACCAAGGGAACTGTTGTAATATTGCAATCACTAATTGGTATTAACAACTGAACTGATATGGAAGAACAAATAATAAGAAGAAGAGATCAGATACAGAAGAAGATTAAGGATGAGAAGATAGAAAACTCCACACAAAAATAACCTGCCCTTACTATGCCTGCCCAGTGCTACTTGTAACAAACTCACACTCATTGCACTTTTTCCCTGCACCACTTGCTCTTCACGTTTTTTTTTCATCCGGGCTTCAAAACGAAATCTGCCTGCCCCTTTTCATAAGGTTGTCCTGGGTCAGAACTGCTTGACTTGCAACTAGCCAAGTAAAACAGGCCACTTTATGAGGTATCTTCCCTTTCCAGATCATCCTCCATGGCCACCATTCCTTGGTTTCTGTTGAGATATTCAACATCTTGTAGGCTGCTTTCACCCTGAACTTACCACCTTTGTCCAAACTCCATAATAGTTTGTCTTCCTCAAAATTGAGACTCTTAGCTTGTTCCAAGGTATTGTAGAACTGAATCATTCTCTCCATTTCCCAGTCATTGAGGAGTCTTCTGAAGGATAGATTCCAACCTTGTGCATTTTTGACCTCTGAGATAGTAGCTAGCTTCTGTTGATTGAGATTGTAAATGTCTGGAAACTGTTGCCTCAGAGGTGTTTGCCCCACCCATATATCATTCCAAAACATGGTCTTTCTGCCATTACCCACTTTGATCACAGAATTACCCCACATTTTTGGCCACTGATTTCTGATAGTCCTCCATAGTCCCCTTTCATAAGGAGTTTTAACTGCCTGAGTAGTCCATGGTCCTTCCCGACTTTGCTTTCCTGTAAACTGTCTGTTGCACTAATTTTATATATGGGAAAACATGTTAATCCTGGATGAATGCATGTTTACAGCAGAAATTAGGGGTGTACGGTTTGCTCCCTATATTTGAACTTTAACTGTGAACAAATAAAAAATTGAAGAAGATTATGCATTGGTGTCTGGTGTCCATATTAATTTTGATGAATTCCTCTAAAAGTGATAGCTTGAGCGGAGTGGTCTAACAAGTCTCATCTCGATTAGTTGCCACTTTACTGCTCTGTTACTGCTTTTGATGCTCTAAATGGGATGACATTCCCAAGAAATCCTGGAAGATTTTTGGGAAGTCATTTCTTAAGTTGTTTTCACCTTGGTTAATATGTCGAATGAGATACATGAGTGGTTCCTCGAAGTAGATAATTTATGTGCATCACTGTATTTTTTGCAATTCTGAATCTCGATATCTATAGTACCCGGACTTTTGAGTATGTCCTTGGGTTCATTGTCATTACTCTAAGATGCAAAGAAATGTCGAGGTAAGTTCTAGTTGCCAACTTCCTATCCAGCATGATTTGACCTGCCCCAAAAATAACTCCCCCCCCTCACATCTCACCCACACATTTTCATGCCTCTAATATGTCGGTGTCAGTTCGTCCCAAATTCTTTCATGTGGTTACCCACTTCATGATATTGTAGTTGGTTGCATGATACAATATAAGGAAAAGGGTAAAAAATACCCCTCAACTTTCATTTATTAGTTAAGTTTATCCTTCATTATACTATCTAGCTATTTATACCCCTGTCGTTAACAAACTTAGCAAATATAGCTCTTAATTAGATGGTTCCCCCAAATCAACCAAAATTACCCAATTTAAATTAAAATTACCGATTCCCTCTTTAACCAGAATCCGACCCACTAAACTAAATAAACCCATAACTAATTAAATCCCAAAATCAATTTATCCGATCTTCATCTCCTTCCTCCATGAAAATACCATGTCTCGTCTGTACCCAAGGGTTATCGAGATTGATTTTTCCTCCAAGTGAAGCTCCTTCAGTCATCCGAAAATCCGTTTTTTGAATTTATGTTGATCCAAACTTTCTTTTGCAATTTTTACTAGAACCTTTCGTGTTGTTCCTTCGGAAAAGGAGCTTGTTTTGTAAATATTTCATTTTAAGGGACAATCGGAACTTTTCTTTGTGCAGTCATTTGTATACTGTTGTTGGTTCGTAGCTCTTTCATTTGTGTATTGTTGTTAATGTTTCCTGGTTATTCTTCTCTGAGTTAGGAGTTCTTATTCGAGTCAAAGCTAATGTATGGCTGAATCTTTGTGTTGCACCATAAGAAGCTATTTAGGTTTGTTGAATCAGAAATGACTTTTTTTGGTACTATTACAGGCAAAAATTTGACATAAATCCAATGAAAATTTTAAAAGAATTTGCAGCGAAGTGTAGGATTAAATGGATGACTCGGAAGCCTTTGGCATACTGGAAAGGAAGTGTACAATTAGGTGCAGCAATATAACTTGATCTCGTAAAGATCTTCTAAACTTGAATGCATCCTAATTGGTCAATTACTGTTTGTTGCATAAAAAAAAAAAAAGAGGAAGAATAAATAGGCTATTGCTATTACAAATGTATGAAGTTTTCCGTGGAAGGAGATGAAGAAGATTGGAATAGATGGGTTTTGAGATTTAATTTGGTATGAATTTAGTTTAGTGGGTCGAGTTTGGGTTAAAGAGGGAATCGGGTAATTTTGGCTGATTTGGGGGAAACCGTCCAGTAGAGGGGTATATTTGCTAAGTTTAGTAACGACGGGGTATAAATAATTAGATAGTATAACGAAAGGATAAACTTAACAAATAAATGAAAGCTGAAGAGTATTTTTTATCCTTTTCCCTACAATATAACATAGTGTAATGGTTCTCTATTAATGAATTGAATAGTTAAATTTTACAAGGTACAATCACATTCCGGTTGATGTTTCTCTTTGAAGCTATACCGTATGTTTATTCGACTGAATAATTGGTTGTTTTCTGCCAGAACAAGAAAGTAAGAAGCAGGCAAAAGAAATTGAAGGCTTATGATCTTTCTACACTTACAGAGTTTCTCCCCGACTTGGATGCCTCTCAGCAACCAAAACCTGCAGAGTTCAAGTTGAAAAGTAAAACTAGGAAAAATTTAGTGTGAGTACTTGAAAAGCCTTGTTTATCATTCAAAATTCGTCGTCCTTTTTATGATAGAGCAATTTTTTCCTAAGAATGTCTACTTCCAACAGGTTGAAGGAAGACAATCAATTACAAGCTGTTATTAGTCATCCAGCTTTCCAGTCAGATCCATTAGGCGCCATTCATCAACATCTGCAAAGCACACAACCTACTGTAGATGAAAAGCCAAAAATAAGAGAGAATAAGAACGGAAATAGGAAAGGAAAAAAGAAATCTAAAGCGTCAGCCGGGCTACAGTTGATGGAGATCTAATGTGCTCTTGAACTTTTTCGTTTCGTTTTTTTCTGCTTCTCCTGGTAAGGAATCCCCCATTTTTGGTATGTTGGTCTGTGTTCGTCGCCCTATGGTATAAATAGGGCAACAGTAAGAGGAGTTGGCAAATTTCTTTTTCGTTATTTTCCTCTTGCTCTTTGGTTACTAAAGTTGATCTGTTGATGAACAATTTGCTTGTAAGTTCCTTTTATTGATCAATTCAAAGCTTAGTTTATTACATTGGTGCTTTCATTGATCCTATTTTGTGCCTCTCTACCCTTCTACCCTGCTCGATGCTCAATTGAACACCCTCATTTAATCGTGAAGGTGTTGCAGGAATCCATGTAGGTGATGCAAGAGAGTCATTAGTCGGAGATCGGATCCCAATTGGGGTCAGGACTTTGGGTCGGCTCGCGCCGGAGGTGGTGAGGGTTGGAAGAGAGTTTTGAAAATGTTTTCCCTATGTTTGGTACATAAGTTATTTTCTTTAAAATTGGAGGAAGATAAAGTCCAATAGAAAACATTGTTTAAGCCACCCAAATACGTGGAAATTGAAAAACATTTTCCTTCGTACTGTACGCACCAAGATTGTTTGGTACATGGGCAAAGAATAATAATTTCGAAATAAAATTTGGAATTAACTTTATCTCATGTTTGATTTTGTGTAAGCTTAACTTTTACACCAAGTGGTGAGATTAATTATCCCATAGAAGGTGCGATATCCCAACATTGTACCAAACGATCTCTTAGTGTTACGATGTGTTTATCATTTTTTTTATATGGTAGTAATATATTTAGTTTTTTTGGGTCCTTCTATCATGTGTATATTTTTACTTAGCCCGATCAACTTTGTGTCAGACTAAATAGACTAAATAATTTGAAAAATATTTTTCCTAGGTTGTGTTTGATCAATATTATATTTAAAAAACTATTTTGAAGCATCAATTACTAAGTAATTAAAGGGACATTATCTTTCTAAAATACATGATAAAGATCCAACGTCTCTTACATGAAAAGACGTTAAAAAAAAATGTACATGCTCAGTGGGACTCGAACCCATCCAACGTCTTTTGTAAAAAACGTAAAATGTACACGCCCAGTGGGAGTCGAACCCACAATCCCTTGATTAGAAGTCAAGTGCCTTATCCATTAGGCCATGGGCGCTATTTTGTGTGTATTGAACAGGGAAACAATACAAAATTAGTATTAACGAAACCCAAAAGTCAAACTAGAAAGTAGCACGGAGCTACGAAAAATTAAACTATTTATAGATGCTTAATAAATAATCTTTTAAGATATATATATATTAGATATTTCATCCTCTTTGATTCATTCGTGTGTTTACTTCTTCATATTTTGAATCTCTCAATTAAAAATTTGGCTCTGTCATTGCTGACAACAATGAATTGACAACACTATTACAACAACCTGTGCAAGAATGAATATTAAATCTACCAAACAATAAAAATCTTAAAAGAAAAAAAACCATGCTTTAACTCTATAATGTAGGAAAACTCATGCATATATAAATTATTATAAAATTATTTACAAAACATACATAAAACAGAACTTATGTACCAAACATTCACAATGTATTTTATTGCACAATGCATCCACATCTAAGCATAAGCATGGCACATTTTCACATTCATATCAGAAAAAGAAATGAAAAACAATTTCATACAAACAACGAATTGCTTCTATCACAAAAGCTAAAGCAAAATTAGAGTTCTTGAGTAAGAAGTTCACACCAAAATTGAAGAAACGGATTCAATACAACTTGGATAGCCGAAAAACCAACCAATAGGAAGTTCACAATTAAGCAAATATATAAAAGCTATTGACATCTTAAACAGTAAAACAAAATCATTATGACTATGTTACTAACATAAATAACTATAAATGATATTCATCGATAAGAGTTATCTCGACTCCTAATACTAGAAACGATAATAGAGTTGCAGAAACAAGAATCAACTGCAGCTGTCTAACAGTAACAGAAAACAAAAGCTAAGAGACTTTGTTCTGTAAGTTGTATGATAAAGGAATACAAGTAAGGTTTTCCATGTCATATACACAAATCACAAACTTCTTAATTCAAAGAAGCAAATGTTAAATCAATCAGAACAAGTTATTGAACACATTTCTGTTAGATACCAATACGCGTAAAGGTGTCTCATTTGCCTAGGCCCTTATTCCAGGTGTGGGGAAAGAGCGGAAACTTGTGTGATATCAAGAACTAGCATATAAGGTACAGAGGCCATTCAATATGAACTCTAAACTACTCTTTTGGTCTATTATCTCCTTTCATCTCCAGCAGCACTCCCTAATAATTTGATGGACGATGGTGCTTACGTTTACCAAGAACTTTGACTGGAGATACAACAAAAGAAGTTCTGAACTGTGGCTTGTGAATTGGTCTAGTAACTAAAGCTTTGACAAGTCAATGAAATGGAACTATATAATGATGTACAGAAAAGTGAATCTTCACAACAATTTTCAAACTATAGTGACCAATTCTCGTCAAAACCTTAGCTGCTGCAGGTGTAGACATCAAAACAGTCAATTAAGAATACAAGGATGAAGCTAACCTGGCTCCGTGAGCTTCACACCAGCCTCCAGACACGCCCTCAAAACACGTTGAAGACACACTTCACTTCCATGACACTGAAGCTCTATAACATCTTCTCTATTATATGATTTTGGGGCCAGCATAGGAACCTTATCTACGGGGTTATAATAGAATTAAAGGAAGAAGTGAAGAACCAATTCCTCACAGGTATGAACTTAATAAGAACAGACAAAAGTACTAGAAACAGAAAGGAGATGTTGCAAGAGCTAAATTGAGATATGAAGCAACAAAGGCATCGAACTCTTAAAATCTCCAATGTAGTACAATCTACATGTCAAAATTAAAGAACAAATGCACCAACAAGAAGGGAAAATGTAGAGTTTCAAATTATACCTCATCAATCACATTCACATGAGAATCAGAAACAAAACCATACTCTACGACATGGATCCTAGGCCTCCAATCTGAAGAACTTCTTTTCTTCTTTTTCACCTTGGGATGAACTACGCGACCAACTATAGGCACTGCAGACGGACCAGATAACCGAATAATCCCAACTGCAGCTGCTGGACCACCTAAAGACTGATAATAGCAGCAATGGTGCTAGTATTTAGAACCACAAGATTCTCTGCTATAAAAAGATTGAAGTATAGTTGTAAAACAACTCTTTCAGCACCATAGTATTCTCTGCAACAGAAAGATTGAAATTTTAGCATCAAAAACCAATTTTTTTCAGTACTAGAGTACTCTCTGCAATAAAAAGATTGAATTTATATAAGTCAAAAACAATTCTTTCAGCACCATAGTATTCTCTGCAATAGCAAGATTGAATTTTAGCATTAAAAATCTGTTCTTTCAGCACCAGAGTATTCTATGCAATAAAAGAAACATTAAAACCCAATTCTTTTAGAACCACATCCTAGTTCAACTTTTGATGGACTAAAATGGATTGAGCTGATAAATGAACAGGTCAATAAACCCATCCAAACTTGGACGAGTTGAACGATATATATTTTCATAGGCTAATTTTGACACCTCTAAGCTTTTACAAAGGATTCATACAAGCTAATTGATTCATTGATACACACATATACCTCTTTATAACATTTTTTGGTGAATGGCATACTGGAATGACATGCATAAACTCCCGGTAAGTTCAACATTGCTTAATTTCAGCAAAACCTTCATTGAGAAGAAAGTTTTGAACTATACAATCCAAAAGGTAGCTAACAATCTTTGGCTTATTCACTCTACATTTAACAAGTATATGCAAGTTCGTTCTCTCGGCTGATTTTTCTTTCTCCAAGTTGACGTTACACTTCTTCTCTCCGCTATATATGCCTGGACATGCACCCAAGCATAGGTGAGTTTTCATGGTTTTATTGCATTTACAAGTTACAACTTTAGACTACTTCTGCAGGGGACTTTGAGGAACAGGTCAGTCTTGTTCAATTGGCAACAAACTACTACCTTATAGGTAAAAATTGTCGGTATTGTTCAACAATTGAAACTCATGCCTAATAGACAACATATTACACTATCGTCACGGTTGGTAACTTCTTACAACATATTACAACAATAGATTTAGTGCAATTTGTCGATTTTCTTTGTTACACCCCTGCCTAGTGAGTTAGTGAACAATATTATTCCTTACTTGTTCATATTTTACACACAAGCTTAAAGAAGGAAACAACATTCACATACATATATACCTCAAATGTCAAAACATTTTTAAGATTTGATTCAAAATTTGAAGTTTATAAGTTTAGGATTTAATTCTTTTAAATTACTAAATATTGAAAAAGATAACCAACACATTTGAAAATTTCACATTTTGGACTATAAAGAATTGTTAAAAAAATTCATTTAATATATTGAAATGAATGGAGTAATTCATTGTTGTAAAATCACTTTGGTACAATCATTCACAATCCTATTATGCAACACATTATCATTTATCCCCTCAAACGCAACTTCAAAAGCTCAAATTTTCAAGTTTCAAGTTTAAATTTCAAAATCTATGATCAAACACGAGTTAAAATATGCGATAATAAGTAGCCAACGGATTGACAGTCTTCATTAACATGAAGTTGAATCAAATCTAAACTTTGATTTATGATTTCAATATGCATAAGCTGGTGACTGAATGTTCAATTTTACTACAAAATTCAACAGACAAAGAATGCTATTTGCCACTATTCATTACAAAAAAAATCCCATGAATGATTCAATTGAGTAATTTCCCCAGAAAATGCTCAGACCTTCAGTTTTTTTTACCACTTCGAAGCACTCTGCTTGAAGGCTCCACAGTTGTCTTGTTCCTGGGTGTTGCTGAAACTGATGAATTCCCCCTTGTACTGGAACTTGGTGGAGTCGGGTCAGAACCCATTTCAGTTTTGCCCCGGGAAATGGAAGCTCTGCCTTTAGGAGTCAGGCCAGTACCCATTTGAGCTTTTCCCCGGCGAGTTGAGACGGAAGTGGACGGTGTGGCTTTAGCTTTCTCGGATTTTGGTGGTTGTGGGTCAGCAGGAGGAGTCGAATCAGAATCGGTTTTGGGTTTTCTCCGGCGAGCTGAGCTGGCAGTGGACGCTGTGGATTTTGGTGGTTGTGGATTTGCCATTCTGGCTTTGCCCTGACGGGTGAGAACACTGGAAGTTGGCAGCACAACTGCCCTTTTCTTGAG